TTCATACTTCGCTGCCAAGTCATTGTTTGACCGCCTCTGGCTCTCTTCCACCCTTCACATGGTTGGGCGAAAAGAGCCCTTCGAGGAAGTCGGTCGACTGGCATACGCAGCACGTGGCCAAGCCAGCGCAACCTGTGCAGTGTGATCAGTTCATCTATCGAGGGTGAGTTATTTCTCCCAAATGCCATTCGACGTACTTCAGAATTGCTGATCCGGTGTTCCCACCAGATTCGGGCAATGCTCCGAAGACATCGATGGTCAAACACTGAAAGTCTTTTGACGTCCTCGGCGCACAGCGGCCAGGTTTCTGATCCATATAGTAATATGGAGCGCACCGCAGCATTGTAAACCCGACCCTTGACAGAGAAACTGATGTCACGCCTACGCCACAGGTGACACAGTGACTATACAATAGACAAAAAACACGAGTTCAGCATGCCCAGGTCTGCATAAGAGTAATGAAGGAGTTTAGTGGTGGGTTCGAAGCACAGACGTTTGAGCTCGAAAGCGAATCAGTACTAAAACGTACAAAGCAAGTCAGATAGTGTATGAAATGGAATCACAGCCATTCGTTTTCCGCAGTTTCCCCGATCCGAACCAGCTTAGAGCCTTACGATTTTCAGCACATGTCGCTTACGCCAGTTAACCACTGGAATAATTACCAATCTTAGTCTAACGCACACAACTCAGAAGACGTTTTACGTGCCTGCAGGGCGCAAGACACCGTCCTGTCTAGATTTGTTACGAACGCAGCCGTATTCGATAAGAATGACGCTCTCAGACTAACAAAGACGATGTACCGAGGTCACTAAGCCACCACTGTTCACTTATAGACATTACTCACCGGTGATTTACTAACCAGTAAACGTGCATTTGTGTCAAGTGAACAGCAATACCCAAGTGATTGCTCTGGAAAGTAGATATTTTGAACGACAGGGGCGAAATATGCGGTCATTATTATTGAGAGGTTAAATGTTGCGCACATCATTGATGATTCACCATCGTTGCCGTTCACTGATCTGATTCCAAATGGACACACCATCGTCTTCGGGGTTTCGCAGCCTTTGCAAACCTGATCGTTGAAATCACCTAACAGGAGGAGGGAGTCACTTGAAGATGTAGATCCATCTCTGCTGGTCGTCCCTAGAATCTGCTCTTTCCTTGGTTGAAATGTGAGAATCTAGGCGCTAATAAAGGTGGCAAACCTCACTCTCGACAACCGAAATCGAATAGACATCGTTCTCAAGTTTGTGCAGTTCTGCTGATCCATTATGCTCTGATTTACGTGATGTGCAACTGTGAATCCGACACCGTATTCATATCGGTTTTCCTGTGTTGCTCCACTGCAGGACCAGCTTCCAATAGCCCACAGTGAGCAGCCGTCTGGGTCCCAATGAATGCAGCGAGTTCATCCCCTGACCGTTTCGTAATATAATTTATCTCAGTGAAGAGACCCGCTGCTTTTCATCAAATCGCACACCGATGGTGTTCCTGTCCCGGTCAAACCTTACGGAAGCGAGCTCCAGGAAATGTGGCTAGAGGACTACCTCGAACGTTGACAGAAAACGAACAACTGCCGCGGAATTGGCCTACAGTCTGCTAGATTAGACTAGTGGAACTAAGCTATACTTGTTCCCGACTGACAGCCGTACTGAAGGGATCAAATCCTAAAAAGTTCCCGTGAAAACTGCCCCCATCCTATTGGCTGTGATGAATGACATTTTTCACCTGAGTAGCCCAGCCCAATCGACATGTGCGGTCGAAGAAGCCCATTTTGAGGAATCCTGTTGACTTCCTGAAAATCTGTATCCTCGGTCTCCACCTTTCAATCCACAATCAGATGGACAGGCAGAGCCTTCTAGCGTATCCGGAAAGTTAAGGGGAAGAGACTGACAGAAGGAGGATCACAGCAATCACAGGTGGGGTGCTGACTTGAGGACATTATGGGCACCATCCACGCTGGATTAATACAGAGCGGTGCAATTCTGATCCCAGGCATGGGTGCGCACGCAAACCAAATTCAAGCGGCAAATAGAGACCATACGACGGAGCTGTCACAGTACCCGGATCACAACAATACCAGACAAACCGGACACAGCCACAGCCATAGAAGTTCCATGAGCTGCGTTCGGACAAACAGCATCCCCAAGGGGGAGGTATCGGGAGATGAGCCGCTAGAAATAACCAAATATCAGGTTGTGAATCGTCTAAGGACGAAAGGGAGGTATGCCCAGTTGGTGAGAATATGGGCCAATCAGAACAGATCAATTCTAGCTTGGCGTTATGGAAAATTCCATGATAACTTTATAAACGCAGCTGTAGCAATCCTCCTTTATCTCCATTAAAGACTGTCTCAGGCTACCATAGGTTTTGATTCACCACCACAACACCCCGTCAAAACAAGCAACTTGTTTCTATGAGAAATTACTCCACATAAAGACGCTAAAATGGAATGCAAGAAATGGCAAGTGGAGAGACTCACTTCGGCGTTTCGATCAGCTTCCCAGTCGGTCAGAAACCGGTCGATTCGTTGTTCAAGCGCATCCGACTCACTAGGACGCTTTTTGGATTTGGAAAGTTGGTCAAATGAAAAAGCAGGCATGAATTGGTGTTGCACACTCCCTCCGGCGGCCGAACAGACCCACTGGGATAGAAATGAGGTCATCGACAAGGAAAGACCGGCTTGTCCACCAGAAATACGATCCAGAAGAGAGGTGATATTGCCATCGGTTGGTTGAAGGCGATGCAACAAAAGAGCGAATCTGAGAAGAAATAGTTTACGACAGTGTTGGACACCAAGTTTGTTTGTTCATGCCTCTACTTTATTTGGATACTATTCTAAAGGTGTTACGGCAGGGAACAGTCTGCGATGGACTGAAGTGTCCACCACATGCCAGTGGCGTACTAGTTTATCAAGTCTACAAGTGAATCAATCCCACTTCACTGTATCGATACACTAACAAAACATACGGATGCTTAAAGTAGTAGAGGGCATATTTTGTAACATTTAAATAGCCACGAAGGGGGCGTAGACGAATGTGAAAGTCATTAGAGTCATACTAACTGTCCCAGGATCCTGGGCATGGAAACGGCAGGAAATCGTTTTCCTTTTTCATCACAAGCCGATATTTTTACGGAGTGAAATTAGTACAAACCTCCGGGAACCGCCCTTAGAAAATCGTTGTAGCGTCGAGATTTTTTTCCATTGAAACCCTTGCCGAGAGAACAGCACCATCATCATCGTCATGTGTTGACCCTGATGCCCCACTGCCGTACAACCATAAAGTCTACTTGATTATACTCGAAGTCGGAGTGAAAAGAACAGAAAAAGAGGTGAGGGGGAGGGACCCACTGCTGTCAAGTATTGAGGTGCCTACACCTCCATGTGCTCAATCAGACAACCTAGAAAGTAACTGACAGTACGAAAGCCACTGACATCGATCAGCCGCCATTTCTTCCAATGTCTCAGCCCACCTAGCATCAGATTATGCGTCGGGTAGAGTTGCGGTTACGGCCAGGGGGAACCACTGACATGATCAGCCGCCATTTCTTCCAATGTCTCAGCCCACCTAGCATCAGATTATGCGTCGGGTAGAGTTGCGGTTACGGCCAGGGGGAATCTGTCGCCGGGACTCCAACAAAGACATGGTCCTATCAGAGCTCCAATTTTTGGATGACGTTGGCTGGGTTGTACCGCAAATAGGAGTTCCTGTTTGGAGTAGCACATTGGATATATTTTCCCAGTAGTTGTTTATATCCGGCATCGGACCGTCCGACAGGCGTTTGAGTAGCCGGTTCTGGTTGTTTCGTTTGATTTCTAGGTCCATTGGGGGGCGAGATGGCTCAAGTGGTTAGAGCGCGAACTTACTGACAGGAAGGTCCGTAGTTCGAACCTGACCTCTGTCTCTCGACTTCCCCTGTCTAGGCTTGGGCAACCTGGCAGTATCCCAACCCTCGTACCTCCTCGACTTTTTTTCTAGGTTCACTAGATTCTCAATGGCTAAGCAAAGTGTGCACGTTTTGCGTAGACTTGAAAAGCGCACCGAAAAACAGTAGCGTACAAGTGCATGGTCCACGCTAGTGTTCCAGAAGGAGCGGCAAGCGGTGAATGACCCTAGCCACCAGTTAGTCATGGCAATGTGGTCTGTTTGTCAAGCGATTTCCGCTACTCCAGAAATTTATACCGTACAGGAACAGTCTCTGATCGGCATACATCTGAAGCAGGCGATCTCTGTTGTCCGTGCGACTCGTCTCCAATCCAAGGCGACCACTCAATTGGGCCTCAGCATCAGTTAGTCGACCTACCTGGGCGTTCGTCACCAGCAACCACAACAATATCTGAGTTTGTCAGCCCGTTGTATCAGAGTACCTAGATCTCCATAAAAACTGTCTAACAGTTTCAGAACTACAGTCAGTTGGGGCGTAAGCAGACGTGCGACAGACCTCACTTTCTCGAGATTCCCTAACAAACGTTGCCAAACTAACCGTGCAGAGGCGACTATCAACCGGCATACATAAGTAGATTCGCTTCCGCCAGGTCGCTCAATACAGATCCTACACCACAACATATTCAGCAGTATCGTCCTCTGCATCACTAGAAGTGCGCAGCCGGAAGATGGAAGAGAGCGACGGGCTAGTTAGTTCAATTAAGTTCAATACAGTGTCCTGTATCCTTGTTTCTTAGGGACAGCATATATCAATGCAGAGGGAATCCAGCGTACGAGCAAGAGCCACCTGTGGCCCTGCTAGCTTCGGCGTGCGAACATTAAGGGCGGATAAGCAGACAGGGTTTGAAAACGTACTTCGAAGTGTTTAGGGTTGTTACTGAACTAGGACGTATAGAAGCTGTAGCTGAGGATGTTCAGCTTTTTTTAAAATAAGGTGCTCATGAGATGTTTACTTGTCTGTCTAAGAGTTTATGACCGTTAGTTTTGTTAAAAAACGACTTTGGGGCGAGGGGCCTTCCCCTTTACACTAGTTGCCCAGACAGTACAAATTCATGTTACACATGTATAAACTGCTGACGAAGTATTCTACTGTGCAGTGATGCTGTCGCCCAGTTTAGTGGTTTCAAAAGGACGACTTGGAATTTTAGACATTTTCAAATGCTCGGGAACAGAAATTATCAGGCAGAGTGCATGATGTGTGTTTAACACACTACATCTTCGGTCAGCTGTTTTTCCCAACACAACGGGACACTGTGAAATTATAAAGGTTCTATAAAAACGAATCCTGGGCTGTGAGGAGTTTGGTGGCAGTAACGACTGGCCACTTATATTTCAGATCACAACATTAGCTCTCTTTTACTAAATAGAGAGCTTAATGAAGTTTCTGCAGCGGCCACCACTAACTAGAACACCCATTTGCCATAACCAACAGAATCCTATTCACCTAGTGGCATCTTTGATGTAAATGAGGCAACTTTGCTCTACAAGGCAGTCCCGAGCCGTAGTGTGACCACAAAAGGTGACACAGATAACCGTGGGAACTTTTCGAGAAAACGGTATTTCTGTGCTGCAGTGCAACTGTTGCATGTGGTGATCGGCAGGAACCAACAACTAAGCTGTTCGAAGGGAGGACACGTGAAACGCGTAACAGTGACTCAAACTCAAGGAGACTTGAATGACCATTCTAATCTTCGAGCAATAGCCCGAAAATTAAATCGGATTTTGCTGAGAAGCTGGAATACTGCGTTGCTTCCACATAATTATTCGGTTCATCCACGATTATCACTCAGCAACCCCAAATACAACGTGGAGCCTGCGACCATTGGACGCTAGTATAGCACACCGGTTAAACTAAGTTAGCACTCACAACTGCTGCACCACGTTATACAGCTCATCATGGGTGTTGCATCAACTATTTTCAGACAGGCAATGTGATTTTGGGTGCTAATAAACATGCTAGCTACCGGTTGAGAACACTACTACCCTAACCACCTAACCATGCTTTGTTGTGGAGCATTGGATGTACGGTGCACTACTGGTGTAATCGACGAGTAATCGGATTTTAGTCTCTCTGAAAATCATTTCATGGAACGACACAGCAGGTTCGGTGATTGATTTCCAGTTTGTTGGGGTAAGGGGTCGTTATACAGTAAAGATACGGATCTGAAAGCGACGATCAGGGTTCTGAGGTTGTGGAATCTGACAATGATGAACCTAAATTGGCGTACTTGGGCTATGTAAGCATTTCAGAATTCAAAAAATTCTAAAGCTGAGTCCTGTATTGGTAAACCTCCAGTATTAGATGATAGAAGCCAACAGAGTTTTGTTGGCTGTGTGCTGCCGGCCAAAAATACGCCTTCGATTTCTGTTTCGAAGGTTTTATTTCAATATGTGGGTACTTTCTATTAACTTTCAGGCTGCTGACGGCATTTGATGAAGACTGCCCTCATACAACGGTATTTGCACAAATCATGAAGAGTCATAATATAAGTCTCAATGCATCGTTGAATTACTATTAAAATTTGCTGTACGTAGATTATTACCTGCTTGCACGATCGACTGAGGGTGCGTTCTCCAACTAAGACTAGCTGGGTCGTTCCCATGAGTAGTCCTTGCTCCAACGGTTACTAGAGGATCTATACCAAGTACGACCTGGCGAAGGTAAGTCTAAATCAAGTCATACGTTATTCAAGCGACGCTCTGCACTGCATTCTAAGTGATTAGAGTTCCTCAGACCAAGCAGATAAAAAGCTGAACTAACTGGGGTAGAAATTTTCACTAAAATGGACTACACCCGAACATCGTAGTTGCATCATGAAAACCAAACTTTAAAGTGAGTTACCGATGACCGCTCATTTGTTCGGTCTATATATGCAAAACGCACTCAACCAGAGCGATGAGTGCAGGTCAGTAATGTCGCCTGGGTGCTACGTGAGCACGTTAGTCAGCAGCCTGTTTACTCTAATTGGAGACGATTTTCACCTGGACAAAAACCGGCTTCGGAAGTGGCAGACATTCTAAAGAAAGCAGAAGACCACAGGTTTTGCCAGTGGATAGGCCCCAAGTGGAACATATCCAGCCGAGATTCTGCCGATCAGAGGAACCATTCTACGCGATGTTTATCTGATTCGATTTAACAGTCCACTAAAATATCTACGCAAGTGGTATGAAATACCAGCCTCGGCTGTGTGGGAACTACGGTCTGAAATAAACAGTATCCTGAAACGTAACGCACCAAGAAGAAATAATCACAAAGATGATACATCATCCTTATAGACATGGAACTATATTTTGGGTGATCACGCACATGACAACGTGGACAGTCCAAGTAACGTGTCTAGATAAAGCGAGAAAAAAAGATGCTTACTGCTCGTTATCGAAGGTATCCAAATGCAGTGCGACAGACAACAAGCGGACTATTGCAGATCGTGTGGCCAGCCCGAGTCCTAGTGCGGAGTAGTCGGAAGGAGACGAATGGGTTGGTGACGTTGTTAGTAAGCCGAGGGCGAAGAGCCCTGGAGTCTCCGGACACTCCAGCAGAGTCTGTAGAGACTGACCACAATGACGCGCTACACTCGAGGCTGGTTTATTGTCACCACCAGTCTTCTCATTGGACGGCTGTGTCAGAGAGACTTCATCTTCTTGTGAGACGCCAGGAAACATGGTGGATAACATGTCGGTGCACGTGTACACCAGACCCATCGCTTCAACAGCCAAACCCATAGACAGTAGGCTGGGGAAGAGAAGAAATGCATGTCAGGGAAGAGGCTGGAAGTCTGACTGATAAGAGACGTGTAACTCTGAGAGAGGATAATGGAGGCTAAAAGGAAAAAGAGATGATGGTCGTAACCAGTCGGAATATGAATCCGTGGAGACACTGCGACCCGTCAGAGCTCGTCAAAGAGTGGAATACCTTGTAAATCAGTATTAGCAGTTCGCCTCAGCCAACGAAGTTGGTCAGTACTTGGTGAATCTGCCGGTAAAAAAACGGGGTTTTATGAAGTCACTTCGATGCTGCAATTTCAAATGAGATGGCTGAACCCGGTAGATAAACACGTTTCGTGGGGTAACTTCGGCGCTCAGTTGAACACCTTTTTCATAATTCCCTCCTCTGAATACAACATTCCAAGCTTGAAGTAATGAGTTCTCTAGGAGATTTTTGAAATGACCATCAATGGTCAAGTTCATTAGGAGCCTGAGCTAACAGCTATATAGCGAAGCGATTCACACCAAAAAGAGAATGGAACGTGAAATTCATGTTCGCCGGTTCCACAACAGACGTTTTCAAGGCTGGGAGAGCAATAATAATGGCTCTTTTGTTGGGTAGCCTTACTTAGCTCGATTAGGATGAGATTTCACTTTCATTCGTCGAGGGATTTTATCTCCGTATGTGGTGTCGCGAAAAGAACATATTCGGAAAGTGAGTATTATGTTCACCACCAACCTAACGTTCCTGTGTTGGCATTTTCTGAACACCTTCGAATCCTACAAGGTTGGAACAACTCTTAATCATTCATTCGTTGGTTGAGTCTGTTGGTGATAAGAGGAGACGGATAATCTTAGACGCCCACCAACATACATGTCCGCTAAACAAGTGTTGGAGACGAGGATAACTTTTACGAAATTTCAAGTAGTAAAATGTCTCGGAAGTGAAAGTGTGAGTGCTTGCAAAATCGATGTCAAGATGTCGGAAATCGCATGTATTAAGGTATGGGCTACGAGTGATCAGAATTAATTCCAACAGGACTATCAAGGGACCACATGGATGAAACGTATATTCTGCGCACAAAGGCATTACGGTTCAACATCTGACCACTGGTTAGGCTTGCTGGCGAGCGTGAGCGGGTTGGGCGAACGAAAGACATGACAATTTTGAACCTTCAACTTTTCACTTGGTTGTGAAAAGGCTAGATGTCTGGATCGCACCGGGAATGTCATTCGTATCCACTGCCGTTAGCTCGTAAAAATATGCTGACCACTAAACTCCCGTTATACCCGAGTTGGAAACCTTCCTAAACTATACGACAAAAAACAATATAAAACAAAAAATGTGGCTAAACTCACCAAGATTCCACATCAGCTTTGGCGTTTGCCGGTCCCGGTATGTTCAAGGTCACATCCGGTTTTTTATTCCCGGCCAATATACCGATCAACAGGTTCCCGTCAAACTGCCCCAAAACCGTCCTGAATAGTAGTTCCACTAATGCAAAAACATTGTCTAGTGTCCCGTTGTCAGGCGTGGAGAGAACGTCCGCGGTACGTGTGCTCTGTATGCACTGAACCAACCGGTCGGCTAAACGAATGAGTAGAACTCTACGTAGTAGTCGTGAGCAGATGATTGACTGTTGATGGTTGGCTGATTCCAGAAGAATCCGGAAGTTGACAGAATCGGCAATTGTGTTACTTTGCAAACCACTGATGGCGGATTCAAGCAACCACTCATATGGAACCTTGCAGGCGGGCTTGTTTTCTTTGTCCGCCAATGTGTGCTCCTGTTAAGGAATTAATGTCAGATAAGGATGAACACGTGCTGGCCAGACGGAAAAGTTTGGTGCCAGGTGAGATGTGACTCTGTGTATGGATTTTCAAAACTTCAACGGACGGAAATACTTGTATTTAAAGGCATAAGTTTGCAATCGGGTACCCGAAAATTCTGTGCAAGTAATACGTCGGCAATTATCATATAAAAATCAGTGTGAGAAGACGGATGATGAGGACTGACAGACGTGAAACTTGAACTTTTCTAGGCACTAAAGTATGATGACAGACTTGAAAACAACAAGTCATCTGACAAAAGTCGATGTACAACAATCAACAATCGTACAGTACTTACTTTTCAATATGTTCATCTGAAAAATCGTTCAGCTGTAACATCCTTCGGTGCCTAGCTGCCATGCTACCCGAAGGAAGCACGAGGGCTGGGATACCGTCAGGCTGCCCAAGCCTAGACAGGGGTCATCTAGACCTTAGACCAACAAGTACTCAGAGCATAACATGTACAAAACACACAGTAAGCACAAAATCGCTAGACCTCAACCTAGAGATTATCAGAGTGAAGAATTTCTCGCAATAGCTACTACGCCACCCGAAGGAAGCAAGAGGGTTGAGATACTACCAGGCTGCCCAAGCCTTGACAGGAACGGTTGAGATGCCCACGTCGGGTTCGAACTGCAAGCGTTCCAGGCGGTAATTTAGCGCCCTAAACAGGGTATCTTGTGACAGACTGTGAAGAGAAAACAGAAACAACGGTAAAGAAGGACCCACCTCTTGCGAAGCGACTAATCGTATCAGTAGATCCAGTGCTGCAGTGGCTACAAGATCGTCAGGTCCAATAACCAGTTGGAATAGTGTATCCAACGGTTCGAGTGGAGGATCATCCTCAGTTGACTGCTGCTCAAAGAACAAATCCCGGATATGCTGCTCTGCCTTGCGATCGGCGCCATTGTCCAACAAACAGCGAAGTAAGTGGAGCAGCTAAAAGATGGTCAATAATGGGAGGAATTGAATTTTTCCATTCAGGTCTTTATATGAGTGCAAAACTCGGGAAAAGAAACATGAGGTGCGGGATGCCCACCAGGTAGTGTAAACTGCTGAAAATTGTAGTAAGATATGACAAGTTTAACTCCACCTGTACTGTCCACTGGTATATCATCACATAATATACAAGAGGTTCTGAAGTGAAAATTTTCATGGAGTCGAAGGACTAAGCCCCAGTCGACAAATATCGAACTAGAATCAGGAAAACAAAAGCGCTCTAAGCCAAACGTTCAAAGGCGGAAGCGATGAACCTGTGCACTGGAACTGTACCCACGCATTACCGTACCTCTACCCGATGACCAATGGCTAGACTATCGGCGCCACCGGTAATCACTGATTCGGATGATATCGACGGCCGGCCCAGTGTTGAGGGTACCAACCGCAGCATTTCTCAGCTGTCCGTTAATTCCGTATGATATTCAAGTGAGATGCACCGTGAAAGATCCATGTTGACTTAGTTGGTAGACCATCAGTTGGAAGTTGCATTGTGTATTTGGGCTCCTTACCGAACCAAACAATGACCATCCCTCACCAATTAGTTATACATCTGGAGCGATTCCAGGCTCTGATTAGGGATCCGATTGGACCCGAGTGCGGTTTGTATGACCTAAACACCATATACGAATCTGTTATGGCGGCATGCGGCTACCGAATTACTGAATTCATCGAAGTCATCCTGAAACGTGCACCTTTCAGTCGTCCGTGTAATTCCAAAGTGGGTCACACATGGTCCACAAAATTCACGGGTTTTGTACGCTGATGAGTAAATTCAGTGCATCATACTGGACACAAAACTTTGAACTCGGAGTCAGCTAAAGGGATTCATTAAGAAGTCTGACCGGGGGGAATAAATTGCGAAAACAAGCATCAGACCAACCAACACTAATGACCTTAACAAGAGACACAATGGGCGAAACAGAATGTCCCAAAGGCGGAATGTCTTCCTCTGGGGGTTTTGTCGACACTACCAAATGTTCATTCGGACTATTTAACTTGAGGTTAATTGGTAAAACCAAGGGCGAATATTTCGTAATTAAATGTATTGATTTGTCAGGTATTCAAGAGAACAATTTCTTTTCAAAGACTGAATTGTATCCAAGCCACGTTATATCTGCATCATACAGCTCCGTCTTTTCCGAAACCCTGATAACTTTAATGGCTGTAGAACTTCCCCACCCTCTAGTACTCGTGGTTAGTACAATTGAAAAATTAGCTGGATCACAATGGCTGATTCTGGTGAGCTCATACGCTACCAGACGTTTCGTTTGTCTCATCACATAATAGTTGTCCGCATTTGTTAATGGACCTTACTAGCTAGCCATTGGTGGGTGTGCTATCAACTTGTTTAGTTCCACACATTAGCACGTGTGACAGGAATCGTGGAAGTATCCACCTGCCAACTGTCTTTGTTGGAAGGAGGCTGAATTCTTTTCTCGCAGTCTCCTGTGTACGTGAGGATTGGTTCACTTGGGAAGGATAGAGAGTCCCCATCAATACCACCATCAATACATATCGACTGGTTTTATGGCGTCGCGGAATTCCCAGTGAAAAACATTGAAAACTGAGGGGGGCACAGTGTTATCCAAACCCCAAAGGCAGAATTTTGCAATTCTGCACGAACGCGAATACCATTTTGCGGTTGAGTTGATGTTAGATCGCGGAAAATCCCCGACGTGACCACCTGACTACACCAGTCTGAAAAAATCGCACGGTTTGCGGTGTGATACGCATTCAGTCGGCAGTTTGTCTGTACAATTGTATCAAAATACAACACCATACCAACGTTAATGACATGAACTCAAGCAACCACATGCTCAAGAGTTGGAATGGACAACGAGGGAAAAAAGGTAAACAAAATTCACCACTCGGTGGAGAAGTTTCTTTGAGCGATTTCTCTGCCTCGTGGGGGCTCTATTTAATGTCCCTAATCCGGCTCAACGATAAGCCCACAGAAAATTAAAATGCTACATAATAACGAGTGGGTATTACATCTAACAGACTTGTCTTTCCTGAGTTTTGGCACCCTGACAATAGCACAAGCAAGCGCACTTTTATGCCACATCGAACGTCGTATAATATCAGTCAGGGTGCCCCATTTTCTCCATGGAGTGGGGCGGATAAGGGAGAACATGAGACTGCTGCTTCCCTTAGCTCACCTCACATTCCATTTGATGATCACTCTTCCGTATAGCGAAGCTGTAGATATGTCAGTTACTCCCCATGGAGTCCACACGTTGCTCACAACTGCCTACCATCCTTCATTTATAAGATCCCGTCCCCCGTTTTCATTATCAATGACTATAGCATTTAAGCAAGCTGCTCAAGACCCGAATACACGATCAAAGAACGGTAGCCGAGACTACGACGCCGCCATCTGGAAGCTACAGACAGCGAACTTCAGGTGATTACTCAGCTGCTGCGGATTGGTACAGCGTTGGTAACGGTGAAGATCTCAGCTCCCTAAATGAGGTCCTCTTGCTTGGGTGGATATCTGTAAATAGCCACATCAGTGCCGCTTGTTTGTTCACTTCTACAGGGAGGCACGTCGGTCTAAATCGCTACCGCCCTTTGTTAACAGTTTCTACTCAACCACCACGAAGAATGTAGATATAGTACTCATTGCAGGGGATTCTAATGCGCAAATAGAGCATCTTAGTCCAAGTAAGGCGCGAATTGGTGGTAAGTTTAGCTTAGATCCAAGATGGACGCCCTTTATTAGGCCCCATTGTTACTTGGTGCCCCTCTACTGATAAACAACCGTGGAACAAAATCGATAACGTGACTGTCAGCTACCGGAAGCGAGGTTCAATATTCAACCACCGACCGCTCTGGAAAATGGGCTGATTCGGATGGTGCTCTCACCCAATGCAAATTTTCAGCGGACATCGCGGGTACATTAAAGAAGCGAACGTCCCGCTAGGTAGTGGAGGAGGTTTATCAGCCACGAAGTGGAAAAAAAGTCTCAAAACCAGTTAGGTGATGATTTGGAAGCGACCTCTTCAGAAGACCTTACCCTCTACTGGGAGAAGATAACAACCACCATATGTGAAACTGGAAACTTGGCAAGTGGTGTTTCCGAGCGCGCACATACCGGATTTCAGAATGGTCGCCATCACTTTTGATAAAATACTTTGTATCCCTTCGGGACCGCAACACAAACTGGTTCGACGTCAACTCAAAAGAAGTTCGTATGTGGATGAGCAGGCGTGGTGGAACCAACAAGCTCAAAGGATGAGGGAGCTATGGCGTGGGAAGTTCCAACCAGTCCGGAAAATAGGACCCAGGATACCGTCTACTAGTGAGCTAATAGAAGATATTGGAACTCTAATAGATAATACCCACCAGTGTCTAAGTCGCTGGGCAGAATGTTCTTGGTAAGATTAGTAGGAGATTGGCTTCTCTGCTTATCTTTCGACCAACTCAACTTCAACAGTGGTCTTGAAGTTTAGATGCTTCTGCATCTAATGAAGATCCATTACGACTTTCTTCTTTGGGACGTCATCAGACCTGCGGCTCGGATGAGCTTCCAACAACGTCAATTAAGGGCCGTGATGACCGTTGTCTTCTGCCTTAACTAGGTTGCTTGGATCAATTTGGAAACAAGAATACATTCCAGACAACTGCAGCCAATCAACTCAAGAAAGGTACACGAAACGACCGTAGAGGTATCAACCTGATGCCCATCGAACGCGGCTACTGGCTTCAGCAATAGTGCAACGCCAAACCCAGGCACATGAGATGCGAATCCGAGAGCAGCGAATGGGGTTTAACCTGCTTGGGGGTGCACTGATCACCTCTTGAGTAGCGGCAAACATACACACCACCTGCTAATATTCTACACGACTTCAAGGAGTTTTTGGCTCTGTAAAGGGGTCAGTTCCTACACGTATGCTTGGCCAAAGAGGAATACCTCTGAAGCTCGTAAACATAATTCATGTATGCTATTCTTGTATTTCTGGTTGCCTAAGATATCACAACGGACCGTCGAGAAGTTTTCCTTCGCCTGGTGGAGCTAGACAAGGTTTCTCTCTCCATTCCTGTTCAGTTTTTTTTTCCATGGATGTTGTCATGGGATGCATACTTCCATGGGTTGAGGCTCCTGATATCGAAATCACATCTACAGAGAGGACCAGAGGACCATCCGGATCGTAATGTCTTCCTATTTGAGGACAATGGGTTCGCACAGTCCAGTCTGGACAGAATTTTGGATGTGATGTCTAGTTTCTGTATGCGTTTTGCGTCTTCAAAGTGCAGAGTATTGCTTCGGGGATTTGAGTTACCCCTATGTTCATCTGAGACTTCCGGGAGGGAAACTTGAGACCGACCACTCCACTCATGTGGGCAACTGCATAAGCCGTGACTCTGTCACCACAGAAGAGTTCATTGAAGATGGTACCGTCAAACTGAACGCTGTGAGATCATTGCTTCCACTTGGTTAGGGGTCGCGCGATTCTCTCCGAAAGCTCTTAGATACTCTACAGGACATAGAACGTAACTGGTCGCAGCTGCGATTATGCTGTTACTTCGTAGTCGGACCACCCAGTTAAAGTTTGTCGTTGTTTGGTGAGCTCCTGTTGAACGAGGTCCACAAAGGGTGTTGGGCACCAATGGCGCCCTTAATTCGTTGATGTTCCAAGGTGCAGGGATATTGTCCTTGATCGTTTCAGACAGGGACATAAGGCTGTTTGTAGAAACTCTTTTTCTTCACTCTTTACCAACGCAACGCTAATCTACCAATCACTGATTATATCACCTCGACTGGTGACCAAACGTTTGCAACCAAGTTGTAAGGCTGGGCGAACAGAACACCAGTCAGCATTCAGTACAGTGTTCAAAGCAGTCAAGAAATGTGAGTAGAGAACTTAGCATTCACCACATCAAAAAAGCGAAGATTCACTATGAATCACTCGGAAGTACGGAAGGACACTTACCTTCAATACTAAAGAGGTATCCTTAGCTTTCAACTGCACGATGATTTCCTTTAAATAATTTTTAAACTCTTGAAGGCTGAAAAAGGTGAATTAGCACAGAAAGGGACATGAGCACGTTGTGATTTGAGATCACTGTGGTGAAATTAACCATGTGTATGATCGTGGATAAAGATCAAAGAAAATTCGAGTTACCAACACCATGAGTAGCTTTAAGGAAATATGCAATGTATAGAAAAATCCTAATAAAGATACAACTCTGCGCAAGTTTTTACTGTTTATCAGCTGAATCATGGTGGAAGTCACCCATGGCTCTCAGTAACATCTTTTTACCAACTGGGTGTGAGCACCATTTGTGATACTCAACCATTTGGCTGTCCAGCTACAGGGGTCTCCCGAGCTGTTATGGGAGGTCTGCTTTGAGTTTCACCCTCCCTCTTGAAACAGCGGTTTCATGGAATGGAATACTAATAAATAATGGAAGAAACACGCAACCAAAGATCTTCACTTTACAAGAGTGGGACGTATTGATTTGTTATAGTAGTCAAAATCACTGCTGAATGAAGAGTATGGAGTTCACCCACTCTCTACCGCTCAAATGACAATCACAGTCACCCACCTGCTCAACTGGTTTGCAATTTTCGGCTCACGACACATATCAGCGAGGAGATCTCCGGCACAAAGTCCAGGTAAAGAAATTTCTCCGTTCAATAAAAGGTTGAAAAGGATCTGCAGAGACTTATGAACATTCAGCCCCTCGAAAAACTTGACAAGAATGGGGAAAAGTATGGGAAAATGTGTGAACTTTGACGTGTAGAATTTCATTCAAATGTTTTTGTTGGCAGTGGGCCGATGAGGTGAAAAATAGGAGGCAGAAGTCTCTAGTAATCATAGCAGACCTTTTTTTACAAAAAAAATCATTGAGTTATAACGTACTTTCGTCGCATACACGCCATCCAACCTATCAAAAGTAGGTGGGGGGCTGGAATATTGAAAGACACAGACAAGAGCAATAGGTGTATTTGAGTTAGTCTCAAAGCGCGAAGAGTCTAATCAGAGGTTCGTGCCTTAATATTAGCAGCTGGCTGTGAGCCGCAATTAGACCTGAAATACTGTCAAAGCATAGACTGTGTTTCGTGATTGATTGAGCATCCAAGTTCGGCAACTGGACTGAACTGCCAGAATAAAAACTCCACAAATTTGAAACCTCCGGGGGCTGTAAACTAGCCACACACGCAGGGATAATAACAACAATAATGTGTTTAGATTCAAGTGAGATAGTGAGGTTCTTAAATCCGACTGAAGAAATTCAGCCTAGCTGTTAGAGGCCTGGTCTGCTAGGCAGTAAAGTGGTTGCTGCAAATGAACGAAGCAGGCTGGTCAGTCGATACCAATAAAAAAGTCAAAGCCAACATTTGGGATAACACTAGGTAGATCTCTCCTGAGGGCGCACAGCTTACTGCTTACACGCCATAATGACCACAATAAGCATTCAGAAGTTACAATCTGTGGGCAAGTAGTGGTTTGATGAAAACAACGTAGACATTTGATACTGCGAAGACAGCTGTTAAAACACATCCAACACTGAATCAACGTTTTGTTTGTTCCGGCTCGGACGATTTGCTTGGAATTTATTTACATTCCTGGAATGAACAGATTTGCACGACATACCCACTACTTAACTCAGATAAACCGGTATCTTGCTCCATATGAATAATGGTAAGATTGACCTGTCTGTCACATCCAAGCTCGCAGATGGAGCCATACTATTCGTTAGTCATACAGTATGCCAAACGTGATCGTACAGCGTCACGCAAAAATAGGATATGTTTGGATAACATGGTGGAATGCCAAGGTATCGCAGACCTCAGCTCAGAAGGTTAACTGTATAATCTTCATAGGAATTAGAGTGGCGTGAGTGATCGAGCAGGAAACCCTGATTCACCATAATCTGAATCGTTCAGCTGCAGCACCCTTCCGGTGCCTAGCTTGCATGCAGAGGTCGGGTTCGAACCATAGACCTCACGGTCAGGATGTTCGCGCTCTAACAACTCGAGCCATAAAAATATAGATACCAGTCATAGACGGGAAACATTCAAACGAAATCATTTCAAGCCACACAACCCGGATGAAACACTATGAAGTGATTATAATAATCTGATGAACAGTGTATTCCGTCCGGACAACGTACTGCGACTCTTCGAACATCGTACCAACTGAAACGTGAGACGACCTTTGTACAGCATATTCATTCGAAAAATATCACAAACGAGATTCAACTGGGGTTCAGTTAAATTAGTTTGCAAATGAATGCGGCTCGCGAGCCAAGGCAGTCAAATTTAAGCAAATGCGAGAAGCTAATCAGGGGTAGACAATGCAGACATCATTTCAAGTCACACAGCTCAAGTAAAACGTCCCTAGATGCGATTAAGGTTGATCACAACACGTTGGAACGGATGAAAGGGATGAAATAACAGGCCCAGGGGATTGGCGAAAACGAGGAAAATCAGAATACTAACACATACCTTGTCGGCTGTGCGCCAAAGGTAGAATCGGACAGTCATTGAAAAGACCAAACTCGACTGACTAACACTGTCTGAACTCATTATGTGAAGAAGGCATTTGCGTAAAACTTCAAAATCGTCCTGGAAAGTTTGGAAAAACCTTTGACTATCCACGAATGAGAAAATACCTTTCTTGTAAAACACTGTGTAATCGATGAAGAGAAATGAGATAGGTTGGCGAGGATACCCAGGATGGGTTCAAGCGATTCGTCTGGCTTTGACTGACGTACGATCCGCAATACGAATTTTAGTGCATAAGTAAAGGTTTCGGACTCAATTGGGACCCGAAGATGATGCAAGTCAGTGGTGTAGAGTTGTATCGTTTTAAGTAGCTGCGGAACAGTGGGTCAATCTAACTAGACTTCTCACTTACCTTGATCTGGTCTGATCCGGTGAAAGACTTTGAAGATAGACCGAAAATCAGAGGATTGAGAATTGAAAACGACGTAAGAAGACGAAGACGCATCATTAGATGCGACCCTGTTGGATGCAAGCGGTCATCTAGTTAAGAACAGGCGAAAATGTTTCACTAACCGAGAAAATGGAGAAAATCCAAAATGCATCGCCGAACGTTAATGGGATGACTGTCAGAAAAGGCTGCACACAGAAGTGAATTCAAGGCTTTGGAGTCAGCCGCGCCAGAAATATTGTCCTTAACGGTTCCACTTTGTAAGAAGACCTGGGAAGCGGACGGAACGTTAGAAAACGAAAAAATGAGTACATCAAGGAGAGCAAGTCCAAATAAAGACATTCAAATCAGAAGTGGTGACTGCCATAAAAAATCGCCCACGTACTGATGGTACTGCATAACAACAATCCATGTTTTCACTATGTCATAACCGACGTCAAAGGTTATGCAGGTCGGAAAAAGAAAGAAATCAAGCAACAAGACGTAGTACGCAATTAGAATCCAAGGAACGCTAAAAAGTACCACTAAAAATATAAAATAATGTCTATTTCAAAACTAGGAAACATTGTTGAAACCAACCTTTATTGCCTCCAGGAAGGGAAGGTAGTTGTCGTCCTCACAAGCACTTTCCCATGATCTGAAGACCTTTGACAAAGTCATCGTGAGAATGTTTTCATCAGCCTATTGGTGGTGATGGCTAGGGTGTAATAAGAATGATTTGAGGGGAAAATCACCGAGTTAGTCGTAAACAAAAACAACGAATCAACGTGAAACACTTCATTAAAAGCCTGTACAGTAGGGTTAATGTGTCTATCTGCCTGCAAGCAGCCAACAATCAACACAACTTCAGCACATTCCATTTTGGAGCTGTTTTAGAAGAGAGCATTCAGAAATTGAAGCGTTTTTAAGTTGGATCAAGTAGAAGGAAAACGCAGGTCATCAGACAAACATACCAGTTCAAGAAACAGAATGACAAGAGTGACGGGGATGGGAAATAAAAAAGGTAACTGGATTCACTAATTTTAGTGCTTCCACGACCCTGCTATAATCGCAGACGGATGTAAGCATTGATGTGGGATGGAAAAAGCGGCCTAGCATACTTACGAAGCACACTTCCAGTGCACGATTAGACCCGTTACATTGCCAGACTTAGTAAAACCAGGTTGTCCACCGCAACATAGGGCTGCCAACAAGGTGGTGGGTAACCAGGTAACAAGAAAACGTGTAGTTGGTTGTGCAACAAATATTTCAATCGCAGAAAACATCCAGCATCGTCGATCGCCTGGCGATGTTCTACACGTGCCGATGCACCGTCTACCGAGACGAGTGTTCTACCTACATACTTCAGAATAACGCAAACTGCGAGTTGGATAGCGTATGCCTTGGCAAAAGGGTGTGGGTGAGATCAGGAAGATTTAAGGTGTTGCTGGTGATCCACCTTTCAGGATGAGGACGATGACCCCTTGCGCTTGGCTACAGACAGCAAAAATGGTAGCTGATCGATATCTGTGGTATTCGTGTTGTCAGTTTCTTCTGAGATGGCTTGATTGAGCGCTTGGAGTTTAAGCGGGATGGCTCAAGTGGTTAGAGCGCGAATTTACTAACAGGAAGGTCCGTTGTTCGAACCCGACTTTTGCCCCTCGACTTCCCCTGACTAGGCTTGGGCAACCTGGCAGAATCCCAGCCCTCGTGCTTCTTTCGGATAGCATGGCAGCTAGGCACCGGAAGGGTGTTAAAGCTGAACGATCTGGGGTTTAAACACCTCAGAGCACTTGCAATATGATGGCACCAGGTCCTTCCCTCACCCATACCTTTCTCTTCTTCTGACTCTAAGGCTGAGTACTATTAAGTGAGGTTTGTGGTTGTACGTTAGGGCTGTTTCTGATGATTACAACAGTGGTGGGAGTCACGTAAACCTCAACTAGGTGATCGTGAAAATCCCATAGCAATCCACTTGACAGTAGCCACTACCGTCTCGCGTTGTTGTAGCCATCATCATCGTTGTCAGCTGTAGGAACCGTGTACTTGTCGTACAGTGGTTATGGCTGCTACAGTTTCGACACTAACCCTCCGCTAATAGAACCGGCTGACAGGGTGGATGTGTAGAACACGAGAGCAGTTATCTCCATCGTACAAGCCCTACACGCTGCTCCAAGGAGCTTCATTCGTTACCTGGTAAACAGGCCCCTGGTTGGTGGCCAACTTGATTTGTGGCTAGATCTCAATTTGTACTTGGAAATCACATGCCCTGAATATCACAGCAGAATTCAATGTAGAGTGGCTGGTGGACTTCCCTTCATTAGTCGTCTGATTTTGATTTGTTTCCGTATTTCTGGGAACCCCGTACAATCGTTTTAAATTAACGTTGAGCCCGATTGGTAGCCACCTGGATATGGACAACATGTTGCGTGCCAAGCACTCACATGCATTGAAGGATTGCCAAACGTGCAAAACAGATGATTCTATTTGCGACCGAAATTCTAGAAGATACGCCCTGAGCGAACGAGCAAATAAATCTGTAGTGTTCATGAATTGCCGAATTCCCGTTTGTATTCCAGAGATAGTGACAGTCAGATAAAGGTCCGTTAAGGTGATCAATAACAATAATTATTGTTAGCAGACACGGTGAACAGAGGTTCAAGCATTGTACAGGTTAGGCGGACTTAGAACCATTTATCATCCTTAAGGATGATGAGAATTTTCATCATGATTTTCAGTATTGCTCCGCTCAGCTGTTACTAGCTGTCTTTGAGCTGGATAGCATGGACAAAATGTAAAAACGGGATTAGAGCAAAGTGGAAGGCGCTACTGATGGGCGTTATACAGATTGAAACTGGAAAGTAGACTAAGTTAGTGGTGCATAGTTGCCAGCGGCTACAGCATGCCACCCTATCAAAAGTGTCTCCGGCGTAGGTTGTCCCTGATGGGCGCTGTTGTCTGCTATTCAATCAGGTACACGACATTGCAACCAAAAACCTTCGTGACTCGATGTCTCGTCATTGGTCGACCAAAGTTAGTGCAGTTCAAGCCCACCACAGCTTCTCAGAAGTAAATTCGGTAGCTTCATCGACAGGCAACAAGCATAGCTTTTTTTAGGATGCATGTCAGTTTTCAGGTCTTGCATTTATTTTGTCTTGAGGTGTTACTGCTTTGCTCGTTTGCGCTGTTGGCATGATTCGTTAGCCTTAATAAGAACAAAGTGGTGGAGGCAATCATGGTATGAAACCAATAACTTCATAACACAATTTTCTATTTGTGGTGATGAACGACGGTGTATGAGCACCAAAAGCCTTGCCTGTGATTGACAATCTGTCTCACGACGCCAGATTCCGTGACATTTGAAGGTGTGGTGCAGATATGGAGTAGCTTTGCTTGCCGCAGGTGACTCGTTTGCAGCACGGCGAGAGGGGGACACAACACTCTTAAGGTGGTTGTACTTATTGGCTACCGACAGATGGCCTGTTACATATGGAGTCAAGGTGCTGCCGACCCGGTCTCGTGCCAAGGTTTTATATTCTGGAGGATCAAAACGCATTCAGAAAAATTGATTATTCTCATCAAAATACTGACTGAAGATGGAGAGAAATCATCATCCCCGTAACCAATATAAGCCAGTATCTCACCTGGAGGAGGTGGAATCCCTATGGATTGTAGCCTTTCCCAACATCTCATCAATTACGAGGTTGAAAAAGAAGAGCTGTATATACCAATTTTTAGTGGTCCGTACTTGTCGAGGACGCTGTAAAAGACCGTTATTGGCGAGAAACATTTACGCATCAAGCAGCACACAATGTACTAGGTGCATACAATCTCTACTCCTGAACGGGTTTTGACTCTGTTCAGCACTGGTGCTTCCATGCTGCGGAATCATCTAGTCTGAAATGGAAGCTTCCTCACCATTATTTTTATGGTGGAATCAAAGGAGCTGTTTCCTTAGTCACTCATTCACCTGCTGACTTGTCCAACATGCAAAACAGGCTTGCATATCTAGCATACGGTGAACTGCGGTCTACTAGTACCGGTGCAAACATGAAAACTGTTGCGCCTTTGCCTCTGCGCAAGTATGTGAAAAAAATCAAACGGCAAACACGCTCCCTGGACCTGATTCAGTCTGGACAAGCGCACTCAATAGAAGTGCCTGTTCCCGATTAAACTGGAACGGTCATCAACACCAAAAATTATCTGGCTTGTGGTGTGCGTTTGTCTAGCCGAATGTCCAATCAACTTCGAGGGCTGAACCTTCGAGCTTGACCGCCCTGGTCCAATAGGCCATTCCATTTGATCCGATACTGCATCCGCCACGCTGAATTGGACAAAAACAGCACTCTATTCGGCAAACGACGGCCAGACATACGTAACACATGTATCGACCAACGCAGCTTTTGGTGCTGGTTACATTCTTCAATGGACGTATCCGTTGCACAACCGAAAACTCGCTTCCTAATGGCCTCGTTACGGATACGCCGACACCAACCCACACGAGCTATGGTTCTGAGACAACGATTGTCGAACATCTGAAGACGTCTCAGTTCCGCTGATCGAACAGGCCAAGTCTCACATCCATACAACAAAACAGCCCGCACTGTAGCTTGACACACGCCCCTTAAGATTTAGAGTGTCTCAAATTAGCAAACGCGACCCGAGTCTTGCAGATTCGTGTATTTACCTCATCTGTCACACTACAATGAGAATTAATACAACTTCCAAGATACGTAAAACGCTCCACAACTTCCAGTACCTCTCCCTGGATTGTAAGTGGCGTGTTCAGTAACTGCACATCCACAAGCATGACCTTACATTTTGTGGGTGCAAAGTGAATACCAAAGGACGGGATGACTTTGGTCAGTTCATCCAACAATACTTGCGCCTTCTCCGCCCCTTCGAACATGAGAACGATGTCGTCTGCATATTCCAGATCGACAAGGTTTTCTTCACAAAATATTTGAACACCAGGGTTTTGGAGACCCTCCAGCGTTCGTCTCATTATTTCATCGATCACAAAGTTAAAAAGGAATGGAGAGAGTGGGCATCCCTGACGGACACCGCTTTGTATACGGAAGCTTTTGAAGAGCTCGCCGCATACTCGCACACGTCCGTAAGTCTGGGAATACAAAGAGCTTATTATGTTCACGAACTTTCGGGACATTCCTTGGTGGGTAAGAGTGCCTAGGAGAGCAGATGGATCAACCGAGTCAAATGCGCCTTGGAAATCCAGAAACACTAGAATTGTGGGTCGCTTATACATATGGCGCTGTTCTAGCACATGACAAAATGTGAAGATTTGGTCAACGCAACCCCTAGCAAACCGGAATCCCGTTTGCTGCTCTCGAGTTGGTGTTTCACAAGCTACCATGAGAGGATGAGGCACCAGTGACGCCAACAGTCTCGTTGCGACCGGGACAAGCTGATCCCCCTGTGGTTGCCACACTCACTACCAGTCCCTTTGAAAATATGCACTGGCACCGGCTCTCTCGAGTTGTCCGGGACTGACTCAGTTTCCCAAATGCAAGCAACCGGATCAGACAACCGCTAACAGAGGACTTCACCCTCATCTCTGAACAATGCAGTTGAGAAGTTATCCGCACACGAGGCTCGGTGGCGCTTAAGAGAACATACGCAGTCATAAACCTCCAAGGCCGTGGGCGGTTCCATACACATCATTCAGGGTTCCGCATCACCTGTGGGCTCCAGATGGGTGCCAGCTGGCGGCCATGAGAGTTGTTGTTCGAAATATTCAGCCCATCGGTCGAGACATTCTTCGTTATTCGAGATGTTCGCTCCATTCCGATCCTTGATGTTCTCGCTCACAGGTGGTTTCCGGGGGCCGGTCACACGGATCAAGTGGTATATTAGCGGCTTGTGGGTCTTTTTGATATATTTAGCTTTCCCTGTCTACCATACTTCACAGTCGGCTTGTGCGGTCACCCTTACTTGACGTCTGATAATTCGTCGCATCAAGTTATGTTCGGGGCTGGCTGCCACATTTATCCGAGATTTAGGCAGTCCCACCGTTGCGTCTCATATCCAGTGCTTGAGTGGGCCTGCGGTGCCGTGCCACAGGCGAAAGTCTAAGCACTATGCAAAGAGGCGGCAACCACCACGATGTCTGAGCTTTTAGCTCGTCGCAGCAGGGCATTCATGGCGTCATAAAACCTGTCTTTGACGGCGTCGGGGCTGCAGTCAGTTGGGGCGTAGACAGATAAGACGAAACTTACATCGATCAACTTCCCGCTTGTAAGACTCCTGCACAGACGTTGCCAGATGAACAACTATCAACAGGCACTCATGTGCAGGGGTTGTTATCGTCTTGAGTCACCGGGCGGAAGTATCCTTGTTTGACTGCACAGTTAGCACCGGTGCAGAAATTTCCGCAGAAATCTGCGGACACTGTGCGGAAATGTCCGCACCCGGGTGCAGATATGCTGCAGAAATTTATGCACCGGTGCTAACTGTGCAGTCAAACAAGGATACTTCCGCCCGGTGACTCAAGACGATAACAACCCCTGCACATCCCACCGCAGCAGCCTCTGAATCACCAGAGGTGCGCAGCCGGAAGCTAGTGGAGACCGACGGAGCGGTTAGTTCAATCACTGTGCGTGCATCTTGCATCCGTGTTCCTGGGACACAGCACACATCGATGTCAAATGAGTCCAGTGTGAGAGCTAGAGCAGCTTGTTGTCCAGGCTACTTCAGAGTTCGGACATTGAAGGCGGACAAATAGACTGGGTGTCAAGGCTTGAAGGTTGATTTGGAGATACCTGAGGATATCGGCGCCATGTGACGAGCAGATGCTGCTGACGAACGGAGTGATCAGTCTTGAGTGCTGGGCCTACAAGAGGAGAGTTAGTATTGGAGTAAGACGAGGGGGGAAAAGTATTTGGAAGGAAGGCGTCAGCAGTAGCCTGTTTTCGTTTGCCCGCCCTGCTGTATGCAACAAGTAAGGCAACCCGGCTGATGGCACCACGCCACGGCCGATGTGGCATGATTATATCTGTATATGTGCAGTTCATATGTGTACGTGGGCTGGGATACTGTTAGGGTGCACACACCTGGACAGGACGATTAGGGTTCTCAACCAAAGCCTTTGGCACAAAAACAGCGGTGTTTTGCGGAAAATGCAAATGCATTACGGTTTCTGCGGAACGAGTCACCACGTGTTCCAACCCCTAACCTGGAGAGCCTGGAAACCATGTTTGTCAGACATCCAACCATTGAAAAACTGGCACGAGAGAACCTGTGAGTATAGCTCAATGGGTCGCTGAGGTGCGCAAACCGTCACACGACGGTAAGGTCCGATCTCTTCGTGACGGATGAAAGAAATCACGAAACGTTTGGGTGCTGGCGGTGCTACTCGCCTTCAAAGATGGAAACCGCATGATCGTTGCAGCACCTGGTTGGAGACGCTGCAAGATATGGCTGCCAGCCGATGTCAGTGGCGATCTTGTTCTCAGTTTCTATCCAGATTACCTGAATAGGTTTTTGGAGGTGTAGGCACCTCAGAATGATTGTAGTAAGATAGGGTTCCTTTTTATTCTTTGCTTCACAATTAGGCTTCCAAATAAACGATGGTCGTACGGCAGCGAAGCATCAGTGTTGAACACTGATATCATGCTTTCGATGCTGATAATGATAAGTCCTTGAATCAAAAACTAATGAACCGTATGAATCGAAACCAACTAAACAAAAAACAAATACATACCGAAGATTCGTTACATTCGTCGTTCACCCTAACAACGAATAAGAAGAAATCAAGAGGATAGGTCCCAAAAAAGATTGGGGTATCTGGCTCTCTTCAAACATTAATGAATCGAAACTAAACAAAAAACAAATACATACCGAAGATTCGTTACATTCGTCGTTCACCCTAACAACGAATCAGAAGAAATCAAGAAAGAGGATCCCAAAAAAGATTGGGGTATCTGGCTCTCTTCAAACATTTATTCTCACTGCACCATGAGAAATCGCCTGAAAAGGCATTCACCGTCCTACAAATGATTCGGAGCATCTTCCTCCGTATTACTCTCAGGGGCTTGCAAGTACTCAGTGGGGCCTACGTCAGAATGCTCCTTGAAAATGCCAACCAAGTTGTCTACTCAGGGAGCACGAAAGACGTAACCCTCATTGAGCGTGTCCAGCGAGCCGCCATGAGAATGGTTGCCGGCCTCAAATCCGTGGACTACGAAACGCGTCTCGCAGTGTATGACCTTTTTCCTATGGAGTAGGAATGACTCCGGGACCTAATATTTCATTGCGCTTTGTTTGAACAAGGTTTGGCCAACAGGTTTTTCACCGTTGACCCAACAAGCACACGGCAAAGACATCGCAAGATTTTCAAGCTCAGAACGTACACTTTCACTAGACAGGATTTCTTCTCATTCCCGGTAGTTGCCGCGTGGAATAACCTTCCTCCGACGGTTTTCCACGCTTCTAGGACCCTGCTCAAATTACTAGGCACCTATTCGTGCAAATCCTCGCGCTGGTCATCATTCTTCCCGTCGCTGAGAACTTAAAGGACACTGTTAAACCATTTTTTCACTTGTGTCCTTCAGTTGGAC